GCTGTTGCGGATGGGGCGCCGCGGCGCGACGGAGTTTCCGGCACTTTCTTCGACCTCCCCTTGACCACCACCGGTCAACGCACATGCAGTGTGTGGTTGCGCGCACACTTACACACACATTCACTCACACACACACATGCACACACACACACACACACGCATGCACAAGCAATTCTCGCGTACCCTCTGTGTCCCTTTTTTACTCACATTCTGTCCTTGACCTTGTCTCTCAGTTTCTCTTACACACACACACACACACACACACATACACACACACACACACGTGTGCGCCCCCACACCGCAGGAGGTTGTCATGCGCGAGGCCCTGCGCAGCGCCCAGCAGGACGGCATCGTGTTCATTGATGAGATAGATAAGATCGTCACGCCACACGGGGCACTGAGGCATGGTGCGCGGCATGGCAGGGTGTGGGCGTGTGCACGTTCTTGCGTACAGGCGTGCAGGCGTGCAGGCGCACACGCGCGGCCCGGGCGTGTGCGTGTGCGTGCGGGCATATGTGTGTGTGTGTGTGTGTGTGTGTGCGCGCACGCGACGAAGTGTGCGTGCATGTGTATGCACACTTGAGCTTTCGCGATTGTATTGCTTGTGCACGTGCACAAAGGTTTGGAGGAGGAGAGCGACGCACGAGGTGGACACATGGCATGCACCTCTTGTGCCCGTCAACCCTTGAAAATGCGTCAGCCCCCCACATGGATGACGCCTCCTCACCTTGCACGCCATGGCCCCTCACTTAGTCACAAAACCCAGACGGGTGACTTAATACACACACACGCACACACGCACACCCCCCCCCCAAACACACACACACACACACATACGACCACCCCCAACTTCCCCCCAAACCCCCAGGCACCGACCCCAGCAGCGAGGGCGTCCAGCGGGACCTGCTGCCCATCATTGAGGGCAGCACAGTCTCAACAAAGCACGGCAACGTGAGCGCCACGCAGCTTGGGACGCGGCAGCAGCACATCTAGGCGCCCCAGAGGGGGGCGGCAGGATAGGGGGGGTTCGGGTTTCAGGGCCGGCCGGCCCCGTGGTGTCGTGTGGGGGAGGGGCTGGGGGCGCAGGCTCCTGTGTTCGCCGCTAGTGTGGTCAGGTCCAGCCCTGATCGGCTGGCGACCGCCCGCTCCAGCTCCACCCGCCTGCGGCACCTCACTCCCCCCCCCCCCCCCCCCC